GAGGGGCCCGGATGGGAAGGGCGTGTGCCGGCCCGGTGGGCCGGCCCCCTGCGTGCCCGGTGACTTCAGAGGAAGGGCTCATGTCTCAGGTCCCACCGTGAAATGCGCACCCCGGGAAGTCACTCGCGTGGGGTGTTGCTACCCTTCTCTTTAAATCGGAGAGAAAAAGCTGCACAGCGCAGTTGCTCGCTCCTGTAGGCACTGACCTCTCTCCCAGTTCGGCTTGTTCCTAAGTTTTTAGAAGTGGTGGCAAGCGAGGCGGCCCTCAGGCTGCAGCGCACGGTAATTCGGGGGGCGGTGCGCAGCTCCCTTAGATGGAGGCTGTGCCCGCTGAGCTGTGTCCCGGAGTCCCCTTTACCGAAAGGGGGGACCCGAGGTCCGAAAGTTCGTTCAGATGATTGGTTCGGTTTTTTAAAACAAAGACTAGCTGCGTTTAATAGGATGCTATTCTGAGGTGTAGATGTTTAACACACGGTTACGAGTGGTTTTAAACTCCTGTGTGTGTGTGTGTTCGTGTGTGTGTGTGTGTGTGTGTGAGACGTATGTCTGTACAACATTTCAAAAACCCATCCAGTCTGTGATTTCTGCCTTCAGAGACTAGATGAAGAAATCCATTTGTTCAGAGGTGGCTGTGGACAGACTTTAACCACACCGGCTACCCTGATCTCCCTCTTGCCTGCGAGGCTTCCTAACCCGGCTCCCAACTACTGTGGGACTTTCCCCCAGAGCCTTTCTCAAGGCCACTGCTGCCCTCCCCCTCCCCCCAGTCTCCCGCCAGACCTTCTCCCTTTGTCACACAGCCACCGCCAGGGGATGGGGACCTCACGGAGTCTCAGCTGGGAGCCACGTTGGACAGCCCCACACGCAGTCAGTGGGCACAAACAGGAGTAGCCGTGGTCACATTCTCAGTGCCAGCGCGCAGAGCATCTCGGCTGTCTCCCCCGGAAGTCGTGGAAAATTCTTTACGTCAAACTTGCGCGTGTGCACACATACTCACTGCTGCGGTCCTGCGTTTATTGTCCTGTGGCTAACACCTTCCTCGGTGTCTTACTTACCGCGTGTGTCACTCGAGGGCGTTTATGTTACAAGTCAAAGAAGACCCCCCCACTAATCGGTTCACACAACAAAGGCAGTATTGTGGCTCATGTAACAGAAAAGTCCAGAACCGTCAAGGTGCTGCTGCAGCTCGCTTGATAACCACCCAAGACTGGACTGCCCCCATCATTAGGCTTGACGTGATAGGCCCCGAAATCATGGTGGGGGGATCCTCTTGGCTGAATTTGGCCGTGTCGCCTGTAGGCCCCCCGAGCTCACGCTCTTTTGTCCACAGGAAGAAAGTGTGGTTCTTGTCTAGTTTCAGTAGAAACTCTTCCCC